CTTTTTACTGCTTTATTTTTTGGTTAAATTAGCTGCATTCGTAGCCAGTCCTCTAACTGTGATCATGTGCCTGTGGTGTTTTGGACTTTTTGCATCTGGTCTTTTTCCTGAACGAGTATCCCGTTTATCATCCTATCGCAAAATAATTTTTTATGGACAAAGTTATTAAGTGTAGACAACCTTGAATAAATTTTTGAGCAGAAGTGTTCTGTAGCTGGCATTCACTCGTTTTACAAATTCTGTGTCAGCTGCTCCCTTGTTCAAATTCAAGGCATTATAAAGTTTCTCATAATATTTTTATTTATCCATATTTGGACTTTTACGTGAGCAAATGTGATAGATATTTGTATGCAGACATGGTTTATATATGTTCTGTTTAGTCTTTTAAACATGACCTATATTTATGAGATCGTAGCATTCCTTGAATTTGACTGCATTACATGAATTTAAAAGCATTTGTCCCATATTGGACTGTATTAGAGGCTGCACCACGTGTGCGAATGATCTGTTTGCGCACATTATTAATTGGGTTCTTTATATTTCTGTCAGCGTATACTTTATGAAAAGATTAAATCCTCTCTTTTGTAAAATTTAGATTCCGGAATACTGTCACAGCGTTGAAGAGAAGGTGATCCTGGAAAATTGCTTCGAGCTGATCTTTGCGTTCGACGAAATTGTCGCTCTAGGCTATAGGGAAAATGTCAATCTGGCCCAAATTCGAACCTTCACCGATATGGATAGTCATGAAGAACGTGTTTACTACCAGATCAAAAAGGTGCTTAGATTTTTTCGATTTTAATAGTGTGCCTGCTATAACATGTTGTGTCACAAGGAAAGATTTCAAAAATAAGGCTTTGTACCAGGAAGCGTGGTAATTATTGAAGAACTTTCAAATGAATTTTCGCTGTTTAAGGCACTGCCCCTTACTTCGAGATGCATGGAAACCGTTTAGACAGATTATGGCTTCATGGCGTCCAGCAGCGACAGTGAGCGAAGCATCTCGCACCGTTATGTGGGTACCTTCCTCTTCACCGTTTATAACAGAGGAGCCTTTGTTTGTTTCTTGTATTTTTGACATAGACATCAAAAATGTGAATTTGTTAACAGGATGTGTGTTAATGGACGAATTACAGTGTCGTACGGCGCTTCGTCGTGTTGTGAAACCGTCTTCTTGCTTGCAG